AGGGCTCCGAAGGCCCTTCCTGCTGGGGTTTCTGGGGAGGAGCTGTGTGTCCTCCTTGGGAAAGACTTGGCGCTGGCCCACCTTTTGCAGCTCCGCGAGCTCTTTCTCACCGTGACTAAAGCAGGCAGCGCTCCTGGGATCCCCACTCCTGGGCATCCACAAGTTCTCTCTTTACCTAAGACAGTCTCCGGTCACTTGGTCCTGAGAACATTCCTCACTGATCAGTAGATTTATGTCACACACAGCGTCTCCACTGCACTGCTATAATTACTCACCTTTCTTGGCCCAGAATCATTTCCTCAGAAAGCTAACAACCTTACATTTTGTTTCTCAGCAAATTCGCTGCCGTTTGGAGGCTAATTTTCCAATCTTTGGCATGGATGAACATTCCACGCCCGGGCCCCCGATTTCACATTCCGCGGTAATTACAACACCCACCACAAAGCATCAGGCCACCTGGTCCCACAGAAAAAAAAAGTAAAATGTTATAATAATCACAGGCTTTAAAAGATAAGCAGTTCGAAAATATTTTTACTGACCAAAGTTTTACCCAATTTCAGTGAATTAAGCATTCTTTGCTTCTGCAATTTTATCTATTTTTCTCTGGAACTCCAGCTGAAACAACAATGAAATAGAAACCACAGAAACTGCTGTATATTCGATGGGACTAGGAGGGAGTCGCAGCCGAAATCACAAACTCCAACTAGAAATTTGGGTGGCAGCGGGGAAGGGACTAGGAATTTACAAAATAGTCATGGGATGTAAGGTATAGCATAAGGATTATAGTCAGTAATATTGTACTAAGTGTGTATGGTGCCATTTGGGTACTGGAAATTTCAGTCAAGTTGACATTTTAGTATAAAAGAAATAAACTCATGAATATGCAATAAATCAAGAAAGAGTCCAAGAGCCTGTCTTAAAAATGTGATTATGAAATGAAAAGAAGGGGGAAAAAAGATGCGTCAAAATTAGGACCTCAGTAACTGTGGAGAAGCCATAGTTGGAAAGCACTGAGAGTGGAAAAAAAAAGAAAGAAAGAATAAATCCACTAAAATATAATACTAAGATTTGAAGGAAATGGAAAAATTAGTCATGAAAATGAATGTAAGTGGGAGAACCAAAGAGTAAAGGTTAAACCCAACAAAATCAGGAAGTAATGAGAGGAGGGTGTCGGAGGTGCACAGTAGGACCACACTTCATAGTTTCTATATTGAGTGCATGCACGGAGCATGCTTAGGACAATGAAATGAGAGTTGAAGTGACTCGCATGATCTCTAGGCAGAAGCTGTAAGGCATTGGCTCCAACTTGCCAGATCTCTTCCTCTGTCTGCTAGGAGCTGCTGCTCTAAGGGGGTATATCAGATGTCTGCCCCCTTCCAGAATCCTAGGGGTGCTTTCCAGGACCGAGCTCCATAAAAGTCCCCCGAAACTTCCAAATCCCCGCCAAGCCATGTACCTCTTCCATGTTCTCGGGGGTCAGCTAGGCTTGCACCTTCTCAGCCACAGCTTCTGGGAAAACACGCATCTCACCCAACCCATCGACTCCCAGATCCTCACTGCAGGGCCTGGCCTTGAGTTTTTGTGGGTTCACCACCCACCACCTTCCTCACGGATGTTCCAGCAAAGGCCCCGCTGGCCTTCAGAGGGTGGTCTTCACACGTTCACATGATGTCATCCATGTAATGGGCTCGCGTTACTGATGTGGGGGAGGAAGGACAGGTCTCGGCTTCCACCCATGACACGTTGTTGTCCATTGTTGTCCCTCCCAAGTGAAGGCAGGCTGATAGTAGTTATCAGTACATAGTTACCTGTCTTTCTCAGAGGATTTCCCACGAATACCCTTGAAGATGAAGCACTTTTTGCAGGAACACTTGTATTAATTACTGTATTAATAATGTATCAATTACTTAGTGTAATAATCTATATGTAATTAACAAAAATAATATATCTATTGTAAAACAACCTAAAGAAAGTTCTAGCATCGCGTCTCATCTGGTAATGCTTCCCATGGGATTTAACGCATCAAGTAAGCCTCTAAGTTTACTATCTCCAACTTAAGACAGGACACGTCTTTTGAGATGTTCCAGGGACCCTCGTGAAAATCCCCAAATTAGTTCAAGGTCAACTAGGCTTCATTTCAAATTTGATTTTGGGGGAAGTTTGTAAAACTTATCAAAAGGTATAAAGCACTCGATTAAATGAGATCATAGGTCACTGTGAGACAATTCTTAGTTATTCATTTAACCAAAGTCACAATTAAAGAAATCAAAGGCAAATACCAGGGAATCGTATATTTGTAAAAAACAAACAACAAAAAAACCCCCCACACACAACGTGGCCCTTTTAACGGAGAAGGATCTATTTTCTTAAACAATCACAGACCCAATAAAGACCATGAGAAGTACGGGAAGCCGTTTTCATTAAACACAGAATCCTTGTTTTCCAGCCAAATTACGCAAAAGGTAAACATAACCCTTTCACAATCTTACCAAGAACAGACCAGCAGTCCAAGAAAACTCTGTTTTATCAGCACATGAGAGGGAGTCAAGTTTCAGGTTTCCATAAATACGCTATTGATATTAAGGCTTATTTTTAAAGACACAGAGGACTTATTTTACAAAATAATTTTGGCAATGCCCTTCCAAAGTTGGAAAACATCACGTATACACCATGTGTAGCCACAGACATGCGTAACATGCAGACACAACAGAGATCCCTTCGCTTTCATTCCAAACTTTAGCCAGGAATCAGGTAGCCACTCACATGGCTGATGCTTCTTGCTGGTCTGTGTGGAGAAGACTTTTCAGATTTGTGTATTTGCCCTTGACCAATGATCCTATGCATGGCTGGGACCAGATTTGAGGGCAAGGTGTCTTCTGTAGCAGTCTGTAAAAACAGAATTTTTTAAAAAGCAAAAATGAAAGCTTTTAACGCCCTCCCCCCTTATTTTTTCTTCAGTCCCGGAAGGCAAAGTCTTCATTCTCTCAGGAGGTCTTTACACACGTCCAAACGATGAAAAGGTTTACCACTTCAAGGGACAGAAGAAAAAGGGTGGGTGTTCTCTCCTAGGAGTTTAGGGACACATGTTTCTATTAACAGAAGTCTTGGGTGATTGCTCTTTAACATTTTCCTTTATTTTTCGGGGGGGGTTGCCTGGGGCACTTGTTCATGGCATTGACCAACGCTAAGAGTTCCCTCTGTTCGGAGCAAAGATGGCTGACAATACACGGAGTCAGAAGGGTGGTGAGCCTGGTGTTTGCACGTCCAACTGTGAAGCCAGACCGTCTGGGTTCTAATCTCCTGTCACTTGTGTGAAAGGGGACTAACAGAAGGAGCTTACAAGGTTTATGAGGGCACGAGCAGATGAGATGTTCCATGCAGCCCCTGACACATGAACATTAATCATTAATCAGTAGTTATTGCGAGGTCGGTAGAGCTTGGAAGGTTGAGGCAATCTCCGTGCAGAGGCAAACAAGAGATTTGCTCACAGATTCGTTCTGCAGCCTTGAGCAGACTCCAAATATGCAGTTAGGTCGGTGTGGCACCCGGGGTGAATGTCTAGGAACTCAGGAAAGGACTGTAGGGGAGGCAGCTGGTGCAGGAAAGGGAGGCCACCCATCGCCATCTCCACAAGCTTCCCAAGTTTCCAGAATGTTCTCCAGTGGGGCCCAGGAAGGGGCCGAGGAGATGGCAGGTGGTGTTTCTTCTCCTTGAGGAGGTTGGGTTACTTGAAGAGCTTACAATCTGGTTTTAGAAAAGCGCCCAACACAACAAGGGCAGTAAATAAGATCGGAGGCCCCTGTGTGTTTTCATTCTTTTCTTCTGGGCCAGTTAGTAAATCAGAGGATGCAGCAGCATCCCCTCGAAGGGGCCTCTGGAATGTGTAGCTTCTCCGCGTAAGGGAGGGTGTGTTGAAATAAACCTGAAAAAATGACCTTTCCCTTCGTCCACGCGTATGTAGGGCAACTGGTACATTGTGTTTCATGTGAGCCAGGAGGAAAGATAATTCCCTGGTCCTTTTTTTATTGGTTTCAGAGAGGAATGGAGAGAAAAACATCAGTGATGAGAGAGAATAGAGCCTAGGTTCTAGTCAAAATAGAACCTAGGGCCTGGCTGGCATGGCTCAGTGGTTGAGCATCGACCTATGAACCAGGAGGTCATGGTTCAATTCCCAGACAGGGTACAGGCCCTAGTTGTGGGATGCATCCCCAGTGTGGGGTGTGCAGGAGGCAGCCGATCCATGATTCTCTCTCATCCTTGATGTCTCTCTCTCTCTCTCTCTCTCTCTCTCTCTCCCTATCCCTTCCTCTCTGAAATCAATAAAAATAGTTTTAGAAAAATATTTGTCACTCAAATGACAAGTCCTTAAAAATAAATAAATAAGCCAACACAAAGGAATCAATAACATTATTTGATTTATAGGAAGCACAAAAACTGGCCAATTGAGTCTTTGTTCTTAGAGAACAGGGTAGAGGGCACCTTTTGAGGGTTGGGAGGGTGGGGGCAAGAGCTTGAGGGAAAGGGAGGACTGGGGCATCCTGGGAGAAAGTGCTGTTCAGTGCCTTGACCCTGGGGCTGGCTACCAGGCTGTGTTCACCTTCCCAACAGTCAGCAAACCACTTGTTTGTATTCTCTTCCTGCAGATTGTCTCAATACAGGGTAAAAAAATCAGCTTCCCCATTTCTTGCTTTCTGAACTCATTTATGCCTCAGGAGCATGAACCTGTTGCTTCACACACCCTATGAACAAGCCTTCAGAGGACTGAGGTCAGGCCTTGCAGGAAAAGCAGGTCCCCCCAATCCACCAGCCCATGCATCCTTGGCAAAGCTGATCCCTCCCCCCCCCTCCCACAAAAGGATTTTTCAAAGAGCGTCTGTTATTTCATCTCCTAAGGTTTCCCACAATGGACCTGCATGGGGTGTGAGTCAGGAGAGGGTTTCAGAGTCCAAGGGCCATCAGTTAAGCGCTGCACATTCCCAGAACCCCAAACAGTTTCCCGCAGGGAAGGGGCCTGGCTTCTGAAAGCCCAGCCAGCGCAGGTCACAGCGCTCCCATTCAGTGGGAGCCAGGAGAGGGCTCCTCTCCCTCCCCTAGGCCAGGGCTCCTGAGGGCGGGGCGTCTGGCCATCTCCCTGTTTCCCAAGCTGCGCTTGAACTTCCTCCTGGAGCCAGCACTTCCCTGCACTCAGCACAACTTTCCGGGCAGAGGACACCCGGAGGGCGGGCGAGTGAGCATCGTCAGCTGCCCATGCACCCCTGACAGGCCCCCCAAAATGAGGCTCCCTGCGACGATTCTGTGGCTCATGTTATGGTCTGTGTGTGTAGCACAAGGTAAGAGTAAGAATGAAAGACTTTTTTTTTTTTCCTACGACTATACTATCAAGCATTTGCTAGCAGTCTTTTGGCAGTGGCAATGAGAATGTGCTGTAGAAAATGCGGTTTATTCCAGCCGTGTGACTTAGTGTTTGAGTGGCTTTTGACACCGAAGTTTAAAGCATCTACGTGGCTTACTGGCATGGCATTCGGATTCTTCAGCGTGAGTGTATTTCATGGAAGTTTTCAGAAAATATTGTTGGAACTGTCTTTTGAAAATTGTAGTATGTGTGGTCACTTCCATTTGTAATTTTCATAAAAGTATGATTTCCTTTTTTGCTTTCAGTTTTCACTAAAATGCTCTGTGTCACGGTATTAAGCAGTATGTGAATATATGGAGAAGCAGAATAGAAATTAGCAAAAGCCTTCAAATCATGTAATGATTGGATTTATTTCAGATATAGTATTAACTCTTCCTGAAGAAATATTCATTTATCACTTAGAACTGATGTTGCCATGGCCTTATAGATGACCATTACTTGTATCATTAGAATGAAAATATGATGTAAATTTGGAAAATAAAAAGAACACACCTTCTCTGTGATACCTACCTGGTTCAGTAGGGTTTCTCCCTGGGGTTGTAGATAAGACTGATTCTAGAATAACAGTCTTCAGCTATAGTGACTTTGAATGAAGGAGGTTTCTTCTGATACCAGGGGGACAATTTCTGGATTCATCATTAAATTTAATTCTATCACTATTTCTTGATAGATTAATGCGTTTCTTAAACCCGACTGAACAAATTTGCTTTCCTAGTTCCTGACAGGCAATGATGTGATAGGTACATGGTTGACATTGCTGAGCCAAATGCATTGCATAGCGTTCCTAGGTTCTCAAAACTTTCTGCTAAGCCAACACATTTTGAGTGAAACGCTTACTCATGTCAGCGTTGAGGAAAGTTCACACATAACCTAGGCCCTCTGGCCCTGAGGGTCTTTCAAACTGGAAAAAAAGGCAGATTTTTTTTAACTTATATCCTTCAGTAACTCATATAAGTTTATTCCAATGTGTTTCATACTTTTTGAAAAATAGAGCCTTTTTAATTATGTTGTTCTGATATTCTTCTGTGTGACTTTTAGCTTGTAAACTTTATATCCAGCCACTTTTCAAACTTGGTATATAATCATTTCCCTGCACATATCAATATTACAACTAGTATTTAAAGGTAAAATATTATTTATTGACAAACAGTCCAGAACAATGATACTGGCTAACCATAGAAAACTTTTTCTTTACATGCGTTTTTGTCATTTTTTAAATAGAAATACATGTAGTAGTGTTTCACCATTTATTTACAAGTTGTTTGTTGAGGTTCTATGCAGACATTGTTTGTCATGTAAAGATTTAGTCTATTCCTAGCTTATGTTGATGACTCAGGAATCATGCCAAGTTTAATTAGACTTCTTCAATGACTACAGAGCGGAATTTGAAATATTAAAGTTGGGTGCTACAAAGTATTTGTGGTAAAGATCAAATAAAAGGCATTTACATTATTTGATGACGTTACTGATGCCCGGTAACTTACTTCTCGCTTCGATTCCTTATGTCACCTTTGAATGTTTAAGTGTGACATCCGTTTCTGTCGGGGACTTGAGCACCATATACATTATCATGGAATGACTATCAGTCCGCCACTTCCTAATAAGCACAACTGGAATGTTGAAAGCAACGCTCAGCTTAGCCTCAGGAATGCCATAATGCACACGCACTGCCCAGGCCTGTGAGAAGAATGATATGAATTTCAGTGGCTATAGCACAACTGTTTTCTCCCTTGCTGGCCGAATAGTCCTGAAACTAAATGAGTTTGCTGTGTGTTATTGTAACTGGATCACTTTTCCGCGAGGATTTTCCTGGGGAAAGGGAGACGTGGATAGCACGCAGGGTCAGAACCAGACGAAGCGATTCTAGAAGATGAGGTATTTCCAGGTAGACTAGGTCCAATGGATGACGCGTCCTATGAGATGCGGAGGGACTGCACCAAAGCAAGCCTCATTATTTTTTTTGTTTTTTGTTATTTTGAACTCTGAAATATTTTTTTAATAATAAAATTTTTAAGTTAAATTTTATTGGGGTGACATTGGTCAACGTGAACACATAGGTTTCATGTGTAGATTTCTAAGTTGTGAAATCTCTCTATACAGCCCCATGTGCCCACCACCCAAGGTCAAGTCTTCTCCTGTCACCTCATGTGAGGACCCCCTTTTTCCCCCACCCCACCCCCGGCAGCCACCACTCTGCTGTTTGTGTTCATAAGTTGCAGTTTTGTATCCCACATAGGAGTGACATTGTATGGTTCTTGGCTTTCTCTGTCTGACGTATTTCACTTAGCATGATGTTCGCAGGGTCCATCCATGTTGTTGTAATTTGTAAGCGTAGGCAGATCCTGGAAAAATGCATATGCTCCTCTTTTGCTTGCATAAAATGTTAAACCAGAACAGAATTGCTCAAGGATTGCTAACACTATTCTTAGCTACAAGGAAGTTCCCAAGTCGGAGTTGGAAGCCCAGGTTAGTAACGGTTCATTATTGGCCTTTGATAGCCGGGGCTGGAGCCAAAGTCTAAGTGGACCCACTTTTATTTGCTCAAACCCTGATTGTTCTGCAGCTTTCACCACTTCCCCTTCTTTCAGGCTCTGCCTCCTCCTCCTCCTCCTCCCCCCACGCACCCTCCCCCACCTGCCCAGCCTGGCCATGACTCTCTGCCAACCAATCCATGTGTGTTCTCTCAACTCCTGTGCACTTTGCCCATTTCTTCAGAACATAATGCATGAAAAAGACATGATGTAATTGGGGGGGAAAGTGCCACATTTTAGCTTAAAATGATAAGGAAATATGATAAAAATGTCTCAGGAAGTAATGGAACAGGGAGAAAAAATCACAAAAAATAATGAAGGGAAAGGGGAATAAAAGATTTGACAGAGCACTTTTATTTGTTTTGACACTTTAATGGAGAGAGAGCCAAGTTTCTCATAAATCTTGTTAACTTGAAATATAATAGATAGAAGAGAGATTATTAAAATGTTCCTTCAAAGGCTCCCAAAAGTTTTTTGAGCTAAATCAAAATAATTTCGGACTTCACAAAGTAGAGTGTAAATTCAAACTTGGGACATGTGGACGGGATGGACAATGGATTACAGGTGGTAGGGTTTCTTGGGCTCATGCAACTAAACTTCTGTTCCTATGTCCTCTCTCATCTTCTATATTTGCTACCATCTACCATGCCCTTCCACAAGTTGTCCATAGCCTACAGAGATCATGAAAAGGTTCCCAGATAGTTTCATATTCATTCATCCATTTGTTCATTCATTCATTCAACCATCGGTTCTTGATTGATCGACCGCTACACAACACACTGACTAGCACTTTCCAAAAGGTGGTCAGTTATTGGGGAAAACAAAAGGAATGATTATTGCATTTTACTAACATAGTGTATTTGATCATATAAAGTATTGTGATGGAGATAAACAAAGGAGTCTATGGTCATTTAGAGAAGGCAAGAAACTCAAATTGGAATGAGAGAATGGAGTGGGGTAGGGTTGAGAGAGAAATATGGCAGGGTGGTGAGGACATCTTGGGTGGGTTTTGAAGGCTGAGTAGGAGTTGGCCAGATGAGGACAAGGAGGTTCATTCATTCAACCATCGGTTCTTGATTGATGGACCGCTACACAACACACACTCTGACTAGCACTTTCCAAACGGTGGTCAGTTAGTGGGGAAAAGAAAAGGAATGATTATTGAATTTTACTAACATAGTGTATTTGATCATATAAAGAATTGTGATGGAGATAAACAAAGGAGTCTATGATCATTTAGAGAAGGCAAGAAACTCAAATTGGAATGAGAGAACGGAGTGGGGTAGGGTTGAGAGAGAAATATGTCAGGGTGGTGAGGACATCTTGGGTGGGTTTTAAAGGCTGAGTAGGAGTTGGCCAGATGAGGACAAGGAGGACATTCAAGATTAAGGAAACATCATATCAATAATTAAGCCTATCTTATGACCTGGCTTTTATTTGCCTGAATTGACAAAGAGCTAACTGTTCCAAGCTCATTCTCAAAAATTTTCAATTAGACAAAGAGTTATTTTATCCCAAATAGTCAAAATGTTGGTATGTACAAAGGTCTGACGTAGTTCTGTAAAACTGGAGGACTGAAGCCATCGCCCATCTTTCTAACTCTTCCATCGATTGAACTTCCCCAAGTACCACAGGTATAATTGGGTAGTGTGTGTGTTGTTTTTCTTCCCTTTCGCTTTTCATTTGTATCTCCAAGATTGTCATGATAATTATTCAGTTGCTAAATAATTTTAGAAAAATAGACTAATTGAACAAAGAGACCAACTTCAGTCTACCAAAACAATCTGGATTTGATCATGTTTTCTCAAGTGTATAATTTTATCATAATTTATTTTATTTGATTGAGAAGACATTTCAAACAAGTTAATAGATATATTGACATTGAAAACCAGCAATTAGCTCTGTGTGTCTATGTTAATACTGCCCCCTTAAAATTTGAAAGTGGAAAAATTAGGTGAGTACTGATTTTTAAAATATCAAGTGTATTTGTTTTTAACTTTGATCAAAATTTTATAATCATGTTCCTCAAATTATCGTAAAATGAATCCTATTCTAGTTCAATAGCCAAATCCATTCATACTCCATATTTATAGACTGAATAATTTTGTCTTGTTCACTTGGAAAACCAGACCAAGCAAATAAAAAGTTCACCAGCTAGTGTTTCGCCAGAGAAGAAAATTAATGGGCATTTAATGGATTCTATAAACACATAAGATGAAGTATTCATTGTTTAAATCCAGGTAAATACTTACACGAAAGAAAGCTTGGATTACTCATTAACTTAGAACTTGAGAAATATGATGGCTATTCAAAAAAATAATAAAAACTTTCAAATTAATCCTATCTCCTGAAAGAGCTGTCCATTTAATATAAGAGAATGTGGTTGGTGCACATCCGTGCCAACATTTTGACTATTTGGGATAAAATAACTCTTTGTCTAATTGAAAATTTTTGAGAATGAGCTTGGAACAGTTAGCTCTTTGTCAATTCAGGCAAATAAAAGCCAGGTCATAAGATAGGCTTAACTACTGATATGACACAATTCTGTGAATCATCACTTTAAAATGTTTTGTAATGACACGACTTGAAAATACTCAGTATATTCAAGACTAGAACACAAGTAGACAGGAGGTACATTTGAAGTGGGGAGAGCTTAATATTCATGGTGAATCATCACTTTAAAATGTTTTGTAATGACACGAGTTGAAAATACTGTTATTCAAGACTAGAACACAAGTAGATAGGAGGTACATTTGAAGTGGGGAGAGCTTAATATTCATGATAGTCCCTCCACTCTATAAAAGAGGACAGAGCCCAGCCGGTGTAGTTCAGTGGTTGAGCGTCCAGTCAGGAACCAAGAGGCCACTGGTTCAATTCCCGGTCAGGGCACATGCCCAGGTTGCAGCTCAAACCCCTGTGGGGGGTGTGCATGAGGCAGCTGATCAATGATGTTTCTCTCTCATCAGTGATTCTCTCTATCTCTCTCCCTTCCTCTCTAAAAAAATCAATAAAATATATTTTTTAAAAAGGACAGAGATTGTCCTTCCTTTAGGGAGCCGACATGGATGGGAGGATTGATGAAAGTCTAGTAAACATAAAACAATGATGAATCCTGAGCTGTGTTGGGAAGGAAATAATGTTTAAGTAGAGCCTGCAGGAGTAGACAAAGCCAGCTGTCAAAAGCCTGTGGTTAAGAATGTTTCATAGTCAAGGTGACGGATGAGAGTAATCAGAGCTAAGAAACTGGAGGTGGCCGTGGAAAGATGAGAAAACCGAGCGGGGGTGATACATCCTTTTCTTAAAGAGTCAAGATGTGCATTTAAAGTCCATGGAAGAAGCACTTTTAAGTATTATTTGACATAAAAAGGGGAATCAGTCAACTTGGGGACTCCTGAGGTGCAGTAAACGAACACACAGTGAATATTGGGAAAAGCTGGTAGGAAGATGACACGAGATGTCTACCTTTGTCTTTTCCACCTGGTTGTTAAAACCCATGAACTAAATTTGAAAAATCAAGAATTAAAGGTGTAACTGTGCCATCTGGAAATATAACAATAACCACAAGGAAGAAAACTTGTCACCTCTCTGGCCAGCAAACAGGCTACATGTTGTGTGTGTGTATGTGTGTGTGTGTATCTGGATTACTCTTTTGATAGATCGCTGCATTAGTAAAAATAATTTCAGTCGAATAAATTAACTGAGAAAATTGTATTCCTTTTCCCTTGCATTAGCTTAAAACAGAATAGGAAGCAGTTTTATCAAAAGGTTACTATATTAGTGGAAAATAGTTTTCGGCTCACAATATTGGCATCTACATTTGAAATTTAACTCATGTATTTTTCCAATAATCTGAACGCCATGAAGTGGGTCTGAATATCAAAAGGGGGGGAAAAAACTTGTTAGCCTGTAATTAAACAGGAAATTTTCATCTAAAAACAAAAATGAACATTAAATTGTAAAAAAAATAAAAATAAAAATAAAAAACTCTGGCTTAGGAGGCTGGAGGAGGCGGGCGGTTCGTGTGGTTTCCTGGCGAGGTATTACCACCACCTAGTGGCAAAAAGTACATTTACTTCCTTCCAGGAATCAAAACTGCACTGTGGGATCATTTATTGCAAAGTTCCCGAACATAAATGTGCTAAAAGCTTGCGAAATCTTCAGGAGAAAATTAGTGCCTCTGTAGTATCGCATGGAGCTCTCTGTTCTCTGAAACACTGTAAAGCGTTTTAATCATGAATATGTTCTATGATGAGATCTGTCCTAGTCAGTTATTTTTTTACCTTGTCTTTTAAAAGGAAATTCTAGAATAGAACGTTAAACCATTAGTATAAAACCAAGTAAGGAAAGGAGTTTAGCAATTAAAAAATAACAGTAATTATGTATGGTGATAACTATGCATCTTTATTTTTTATTTTATTTTATTTTTTCCATCCCCATTTACCTCCTCTATGCCCTTTTCCACCTCCACCCACTTCCCTCCACCCTTGAAATCACCACACTGTTGTCCATGTCCATGATTCTCTCTCCCTCTCTCTCTTTTATAATGTACCTTTAAATTTGCCATTTTTAAAAGTCATGTGTTGGGGGTTTACTAATGTAGTCATTCTAACATCAGGAGTAGTTATATCTAAATTAAGCAGTAGTCAGTATTAAAAATATTAGCAATAATGGCAGTAGGCATGAGCATCATTGTTCATTTCTTGTGTTCATATCACCTTACCATGCTTTGTTTTTCTAAAGAAAATTGACCTATTTGTAATGGGAAGTCTGTATCTTTCATTACTTATGTAATAACTCACTTCCCTCTGAGGGCATATTTTTCATTCATTGTGTTTTTCTTCACATCATAGATTGGTGTCCAATAAATATTTTCCAACTTGATGAGTGCAAGGCAGCAGTTAAAACAATATAGTGAAGTATGAGCATTTCTCTGGAAAGTTATTCTTACAAATTTATGCAGCTTCCATTTCTGTAAGCTAAAACATGTTTTATATATATTAAGACATCCATGCGGCTGGACCTTTAACCATATATCCTATATAATAAAAAGCTAACGTTCTAATTAGACCGGACAGCAGAATGGCCTGCCAGAATGGCAAGTGGGCAGGGGGCGGGGCCAGCAAGCCTGCACCGCCAGGCCAGCCATGGTGGTCTTGGCACCCCCACTTCTGCATAGGCGGCAGGAGAGAGGGCTGCATGGTCCCGGTCCTGGCACCACACCTTCTGCAGAGGCAGCTGCAGGGGAGCGGGCCTAAGCTCGACCTGCCAGAATGGCCAGTGGACAGGGGGCGGGGCCAGCAAGCCTGCACCGCCAGAACAGCCATGGTGGTCCCGGCACCCCCCCCCCTTCTGCAGAGGCGGCAGGAGAGAGGGCTGCACGGTCCCGGCACCACACCTTCTGCAGAGGCAGCCGCAGGGGAGCGGGCCTAAGCTGGCTGGTGGTCATCCCCCGAGGGGTCCCAGACTGCGAGAGGGTGCAGGCCAGGCTGAGGGACCCCCAAGTGCACGAATTTTCATGCACCAGGCCTCTAGTGTGTGTGTGTGTGTGTGTGTGTGTATTTTTTTTAAGTAAAAGTAACCTAAACATACTGTCTAGTTAAATAGCTACTTTGATATATATGTGTGTGTGTGTGTATTTTTTAAAGTAAAACTAACCTAAACATACTGTCTAGTTAAATAGCTACTTTGAGCTCTTGTTCTGTTTTTCTTGTTTGTAGATTGTCTAGGGCCTCCTCCGAGAAAACAGACAGAAATTCTGACAGGTTCCTGGTCTGAACAGGGCTACCGGGAAGGCACGAAGGCCACCTACAAATGCCGCCCTGGGTACAGGACATACGGTGCGATCACCATGGAATGCAGGAGTGGGGAATGGGTGTCCCTCAACCCATCCAAGATATGTCAGAGTAAGTCAGTCACACATTTGCACCATTTACCAAAACTTTTAGTTGCGAAAAGACTGAGTGTTTAATTCTGTAGCAATACTGGCTGAACCATAGCAGTGTTATCTTAAGTACGAAACACAGCACCATCTTTATTCTTTAAAAGAGGGAGGTAGCCCGGCTGGTGTGGCTCAGTGGTTGAGTGTCAACCCATGAACCAAGAGGTCACGGGCTTGATTCTCAGTCAGGCAGTGCCCCTGTTGTGGGCTCCATCCCCAGTCGGGGGCGTGCAGGAGGCAGCCGATCCATGATGTTTCTTTCTCATGAATATTTCTACCTATCCCTCTCCCTCCCTCTCTCTCTAAAAATCAGTAAAAATATATATTTTTAAAAATGGGGGAGGTAATCTTCCAAATTTCAAAAAGCAAGCGTACAGATAAGTTCCACTCTAAAATAATGACTTTGCCATTCTTCACTTTCCCACATCCTCAATTCCATCCTCTAATATAACATCCTTGTCCTGAAGTCTTAGGGCAGTGATGGCGAACCTTTTGAGCTCGGCGTGTCAGCATTTTGAAAAGCCCTAACTTAACTCTGGTGCCGTGTCACATATAGAAATTTTTGGATCTTTGCAACCATAGTAAAACAAAGATTTATATTTTTGATATTTATTTTATATATTTAAATGCCATTGAACAAAGAAAAATCAACCAAAAAAATGAGTTCGCGTGTCACCTCTGACACGCGTGTCATAGGTTCGCCATCACTGTCTTAGGTGAATGTGTTTCCCGTGGGAGGTGCTACTACTGATGCCTTCCTTCATTTCAGAAAAGCCCTGTGGTCACCCAGGAGACACGCCCTTCGGCTCATTCGAACTTGCAGAAGGAAATAAATTTGAATACGGTGCCAGGGTTGTTTACACATGTAATGAGGGGTAAGTAGTCACTCGAAAACCACGTGTATGAATTGAGGTCATTGATCACGGATATGGTAAATAGGAACTGTCCTAATTTATATTTGTAAGGTGATTATAGTTTTCTATGAGCCTTTTTATAGGCAGCACACACGTAACCCCCAAAATTAAAATCAAGTAATGGAAAGGATGATGTCTGGATACCATGTTCTCTCCTCAATACGGAAAAATTACAATGAGGTCACAGTTCGATTTCCGGTCAGGGCACATGCCCTGATTGCTGGCTGGATCCCCAGTAGGGGGCATGCAGGAGGCAGCCAATCAATGATTCTCTTTCATCATTGATGTTTCTATCTCTCTCTCCCTCTCCCTTCCTCTCTGAAATCAATAAAAAATATATTTTTTTAAAAAAAGAAACTACAGTTTAAAAAAGAACGTATGGGTGTCCTGGGTTATAGACTCTGAGAGTGACTGTCCCCACCACTCAGCTTGGGCTCCACCAGGACTAGATATTTGTCAGCAAAAAGAAGTCCTTGGGCCACTGAAGTGTTTTATGCTGCTGTTCAGTTTTATTGGAGATAGTGTTTTGCCTGTCTGAGGGCACGTAAATCTTTTGACCCCATTGTGAGATCTAATGATAGAAGGGGTGTGCTACCCCCCTGGTTTCTGCCCATAAACTTGACCCCTTGTACCCCCTCACCTTCTCTTTGCCGAATACCTGTTTAGCTGGATACCAGCCACTTGTTATGATATTTAGTATGGAGACCCAGCTCCATTATCCTATAAGTAGGAAGTGTTAAGGAGGAATTATGCAAAAAATCTGGTATTTTGCCTGGCTGGGGATACAGAAAGCCATTTCTACCCCTTCCCCCGACTCTCCTCACCCCCATCAGCACATAGACAGTCTTTCTCTCTTCCCCTCCCCCATCTACGCACCCCCCTCTGGAAGGTTTTGGGGCCCATTCTGTGGAATTCCTGAAAGAGCTTTGGGGGACTGGGCGGGTGTCCGCTGTAGATGGAAAGTGCTGAGCAGGAACCTGCTTTCGGGGCCAGAGGAGCGGAGGGCATTTTCCTAACCAGTGACCGCTCCCCTCCGAGACAGGCATAGACACCTGGACACCCAGCTCTGGGGGCGCACTCAGTCCACTGACACGTCTCCCGCCCTCAGAGCATGAGGCACAGACCAGCGAGAATCCAAGAAAGACAAAGTCTGTCTTAAGGAGGAGTCTGTCTGTTGTACCTGTGCAGTGGGCAGAACGGCTTCCTCATCTGCAGATGACGGAAGCAGGGCCTGTGGAGAACTGCCCAGAGGGGAATGAAAGGCCCTTTTCAGCATTACCTCCCTGTGGTCACCAACAGGCCTTCCCTTCCTTGATTTTTTTTGGGGGAAAGCATTTGGCCCGCAGCGGCGCTCCACTGTAACAGTGAGGATGGTTAAAGCCTCTGGCATAGCCCTCACATTCTGCCCCCGCCTCAAGGAACATTCCCTCCAGGACAGAATTTTATTATTATTTTTTAATAATTTTTTAAATATATTTTATTGATTTTTTTACAGAGAGGAAGGGAGAGGGATAGAGAGTTAGAAACATCGATGAGAGAGAAACATCGACCAGCTGCCTCCTGCACACTCCCTACTGGGGATGTGCCCGCAACCAAGGTACATGCCCTTGACCGGAATCGAACCTGGGACCCTTGAGTCCACAGGCTGACGCTCTATCCGCTGAGCCAAACCGGTTAGGGCAAGGAGAGAATTTTAGATTTCAGGCCTGGCTTGAGGAGTTGGCACAATTAGGTAAATTCAACATCGAATGGGCGATGGAAGCAGAGCAGACTCGACGACCACACTCTGCAAAGAATCTTTAGGATGGAGACAGGGACACGAGCGGAAATAAATCCCACACTGAGGAGTCTTCCCTGACACAATCCTTGATTCAGGAAGAAGCCCAGAGTGAGCAGAAAATGCCGCCATCTTGGAGGGGAGGAGAAGTAAGGCTGAAGGAGGGGTAATAAGTCAGCTGTTGGTCACTGTCATGTTTATGGCTTTAGTTTTGGGGTGACAGTTCATAGAGCTTATTACATTGTTAAGTGCAACTGATTAACTGACTCCATGAAAAAATAATAGCATATTGTGTGTGAAATGAAGAGTTCGCGTCATGATCCAAGGATTATGGTTATCTGCAGTCTGTCCAACTAAGGCTTGAGGGTCTTTCTTAAGAAAGAAAAAAACAAAATTTAAGAAAGGTGAAAAGAAATTTAAGAGATAAAAACAGAAAGAGAGTGAGTGGAAGAACAAAATGTATATGCTTTTAATAGTCCCTTAAATTGGAGTTTGGACATTCAGCATGGTATCGAATTTAAAGCTGCTTATGAACACACAGTAGCTCACCCCCCTGCTATGTTTGGTTTCCAGGTATAAAATGATAGGTGACACTGATTTCAGAGAATGCGATGCAGATGGATGGACCAATGATATTCCTCTATGTGACGGTAGATACAATTCTAAAAATACCTAAGATGTTTTTAAATGTCTTACATTAAAATATCCTTCAAGTCTATAATTAAATATTTCCTCTGCAAATTGTTACTTATGGTTTCTAAAATAGCACAGACAGTCTAGCTGACCTTTTTACTACTACATTATTTTGTGTTTCAGTAACCAAATAGGGATTCAGCCTCATCTGATCTAATATTTAAAGTAGGAGCGCTTGGGAAATCTAAAACTTATTTTTCTTTCCTTTTGGATTCTAACCTCTAGAAAGAACACAAGCATCACTATTTAAAATTCAGGGGATTCTGAGAGATAAACTCAATATTGTTTTTTTTACTTAGTGGACTTTATCTCCAGCAAACAGCTATATCGAATGCTTCCTCAAGAAAAAAGAAAACAAAAACGTTTAAGTCATTTCCTCCCATCTTATCTTGCTGATTTTTATATCTACATCTGTGTAGATACATATTTTTCATGGTCAGCTTCCACATTCTATTAGAAAAGGTGCCGTTCCTTTTTCAGTGGTTAAGTGTCTGCCCGTGGAGGAGCCGCACAATGGGAGGGTCATCAGCAGCGCCTACGAACAGAACCAGGAATATACTTACGGCCAAGTGGTCCGGTTTGAGTGCAAGGCGGGCTTCAAGCTGGACGGGCCGGCGGAAATACATTGCTCAGGAAACGGCCTTTGGAGTAGCGATAAGCCCAACTGTGTGGGTAAGATGCTCCTACTGTTGATTTTCGTTTTTCTCTCATGAAAATAGGCATTGCAAAAACACGGCACCTCCTACAGAATCTAAATGGTACTGATACTAAGTGACATTTATTGAGCACTTACTACTTCCTAGTAATCCATCTGAGGCAGCGGTTCTCAACCTGTGGGCCTCGACACCTTTGGGTGTCAAACGACCCTTTCACAGGGGTCGCCTAAGACCATCAGAAAACACATATATAATTACATATTGTTTTGTGATTCATCACTATGCTTTAATTATGTTCAATGTGTAACAATGAAATTGGGGGTCACCACAACATGAGGAACTGTATTAAAGGGTGGCGGCATTAGGGGGATAAGAACACATATGTAATGCCTTAATCAATAAAGAAAACAAGGTGAATGGTAAGAGTGACAAATAGATTTCTCAAGCATTTAAATCAAAACCGAACTGCTGCTGGGCTGCCTGCTGGACCCAATGGAACAGGGCTGGTGACCTGCGGGAGCTGTGTCTCGGGCACAGTCCTTCATGTACGTAACAGACATCTTGGCGTTTCACCCCCGCGCTCAGCCATCTCCTGCAGCCTCCCGCAGATCCCGAATGGCGAGCCCACGTCTCCCAAGGCCTCCTATCGAGACAACGAGAGGCTTCAGTACCGGTGCCTCCCGGGTTACAGCTACAGCGGAAGAGCAGAGACCGTCTGCACCCACTCGGGGTGGACCCCGCCTCCGTCCTGCCAAGGTAACCCCCCCTTTCTCACGGTGACTGTTGGGGTGCACCCCGTCCACCCTGTGCGCGCCCTGCACTCCCCGCGCCTCGGCTCATTGCACACACGTGCTCCCTGTTCCCCTGCGACAGGGAAAGACCTACCTGCGGAGAGTGAAGGCCTCCCCAGGGGCATATATTCTCCCCAAATTTGTAAGAAACGTGGAATTAACTAATAAAAGACATTTTCAAATAACCTTAGCCGGGATAAGGCACAAATTTTCTTCCATCTGGACTATGCTTTGTAGTGTTGGGGGTTTTAGTTGAGAGTAATTTATCAAAACTTCAGTCTCTGTCCAGCCATCATGGCTCAGTGGTTGAGCATCGGCTTAGGAACCAGGAGGTCAGGGTTCTATTCCCGGTCAGGGCACAGGCCCGGGTTGCGGGCTCCATCCCCAGTGTCGGGCGTGCGGGAGGCAGCTGATCCATGATGCTCTCTCATCATTGATGTTTCTCTCTATATATTTCTCTCTCTCTCTCTCTCTCTCTCTCTCTCTCTCTCTCTCTCTCTCTCTCTCCCTTCCTCTCTGAAATCAATACAAATATATTTTTTTAAAAAACTTCAGTCACTGCATTCATTAAGGGACAGTCTCTGACAAGTCATTTGCAAGAATAATAAAAAGTATCAAGACCGTCTAAATAAAAACCACCTTTGATCCCAATTCATTTCATCCGTCCCTGTGCAAACTGGATGTTTCTACTGATTCACAACAGGGAGTGCCAATGTGGGATTATTATTCCAAATCTTAATGATGGCTTCTAACAGTAGGAGCCATGTGGCCTCACACATTTGGACAATCTCAGCTGTTACTCTTTTGGATAGAGGCCCCGGCCCCGGCAATGTTTGTTTTAACAGCACCGTTTACTTTAATGGAGATGATGAGAGTAGGGAATTACAATTTGTCAAGGGACTTATGTCCACTGCTTGAAAGCAACCACCATTTTTTCAATTCTTAATTAATTTAACAAAATTCTCCCAATATTATTTGGTTGATCTCTTAGGGTAACTTGTGTTTTTATATACTCATATGCCTTGTAAATTTTGACTTCAAACATTGGTGTTAAGTTTAGCTATACTATGAAGTGAAAACTAAGATAGGTAGACTGGACTGCAATGGAAATATGAAAGTATGATAAATATAGCAGATTAAAGTGAGAGGAAAAAATAAACATTTAAGTACATATTTATTGATTTCAGAGAGGAAGGGAGAGGGAGAGAGAGAGAGAAATTATTAATGATAGTGAGAATCATTGATAGGCTCCTTCATGCACATCCCACACTGGGGATGGAGCCCCCAACCCAGGCATATGCCCTGACCAGGAATCCAACCATGACCTCCTGGTTTATGGGTCAGTACTCAACCCCTGAGCCACACTGGCCTGACAAAAAATAAACATATTTAAGGTTCATTTGCGGTTAGTGTCGATGAACATCAAACTCTGGAGACATATTTTACTGAACACTTGTGTCTAGAAGGTCACATATATTTTCTACTAGTCTTAATATAATCGTTGCTGATATATATATATATATAAGGACAGGGTGCTCATTTGAATGCCCTTTAGCTCTTTGGAAAGAACAAAAACATGACATTCGCTTTATTCTCATATACTTGACGATTTTCATATGATTTCTGTATAATTATCATGTCCTTGATGATTTCCATATGATTTCTGCATAACAGACCTGTACTTTTACTTTTCAGAGATGACATGTGATGCTCCAAGAATTGCAAACAGTCACTTCGTTGCTGACAGGAGCAAATACAGACTGGGAGACACAATCACATACTCCTGTAAAAGTGGCTTTTCCCCTTCCACCCTGGGAAATACTGCAAAATGTACTGACATAGGCTGGGATCCTCCTCCAAGATGTAGCTGTAAGTTCCCTCCATATCTTCACCTGCTTCTTAATTCTGCAATGACTTCTCTTAAAGTTAAAAATAACAGGGATCTGCCTGGCTGGTGTATCTCAGTAGTTGAGCATCAACCTATGAACCAGGAGGACACAGTTGTATTCCAAGTTGGGGCACATGCCCAGGTTGTAGGCTCTATCCCCAGTAGGCAGCTGATTGATGATTGTCTCTCATTATATTTCTCTCTCTCTTTCCCTCTCCCTTCCTCTTTGGAATCAATAAAAAATAAAGAAAAACTAAAGGGGACCTAATAAGTCCTAATCTTGGCCTCACTGAGAAGATAATGCAGAGGCTTCAAGGCAGTCTTTGATTTCCAAAGTCTCCAATTCTAATATCAAACCACATTTTGATAATAAAACCTTTTAATTTTTTGCTATTCAATGTTAAATATGTGAATGTGTATGTATGAATATATATTTCTCTCACTAATATTCTAATATGTGAATTAGATCACTGGGTAAGAACACTAGATATTGATGTCTGTGTAACAAACGCCCCCGAACATACGGCCTCAGACAACAGCCCCCTCTGTGTCAGCGTCGGCGGGTCAGGATTTGGGAGCCGCTTAGCTGCCTGGTTCTGGGTCCTCCCTGCTGCTCCCTGGGATGCTGCCCAGGGCGAGTGCAGGAGCCTCCGCAGCCGTCCCCCTGGGTGTCCCCATCGGCGGCCTGAGGGCAGGAACCCTCCCCAGAGTGATGACCTGAGGGCCCTGGAGGCGCCTCCAGAGCATTGATGACCTGGTCACACGGTCCCCTCAGCCACGTGACCTCTTCAGAAGCGCGCCCCTCAGTCCAGCCTCACTCAAGGGAGGGGCACGGGGCTCCCTTGTATGAGGGGATGAATGTGGGAGACATTGTGCACTTTCTAAAGCCCCACCTGTCACACACACCCCTCAGTCCCCAGGGCACTCTATTCCTGGGGGGCTGCCCCTTTTCTAGTGTTTTCTGTCTCTACAATCTCATTGCTGCTCCTTGTGTATCAGCTCATTGGAAAAGGGGCCCACAGTTAAGCTGGATCTTCCATGGATGAAAAATGAAATGATACACATAACAGGTCAGTGACTCAGGGTTCATTCAAGGCCAAGGCCCAATGAATGTTAACAATCAGGTGCCTTAAAGAGGAGGCCATGACCACCATGACACAGACCTCTGTGTGCATAACAATGACAGGGAGAGTGATGGTTTATGTAGATAATATTGACCTACAGTGTTGTGTTACTTTAAGGTGTTCACTATAATGATTCCTTATTTGTATATATTGTGAAATGATCAGGGAACAAGTGTTATTCACATCATCTGAAGATGATAACTTCTCTTGTCCTAGAAAGCCTAATGCAATGAGTGTAATTATGGGCAGATGAGGGTATAATTCATCAATGAAACAAGGTATCTCTCATTGCATTTTTATTAAGGCAAAACATTACTTATACTGTGTTTTGTTTGTTTTACTTGCTAGTTAAGCCCTGTGAGTTTCCAGAAATAAAACATGGAAGCCTATATTATGGAAACTGGTATAGATCACACTTCCCAGTATCAGCAGGACAATGGTTTCACTATTCCTGTGATGACAACTATGTGACTCCTTCACAAAACAAGTGGCATCGCTTAACTTGCACACGAGATGGCTGGTCCCCGGAAGTGCCCTGCCGCAGTGAGTGAACCTCTCTGTCCTGTGCCCGTAGCCATAGTCCAGAGTGGAGAGAGCAAACGTGAGCTCCCTAAGCCTGTGGGGAAAGTAGGTGGAGGAGGAGTCTCTGAGCAGAAAGACCGATCTGGATTTCTCTTTCCTCAAGGTTCTTCATTAACAGCACGAGACATAGAAATAGATTCTACAAGCCTATCCTTAGCACTTATACATATTTCAATTGTGGAAACTACAGATAGATACCATTTAATATGGATTTTAAAAACATTTGGTAACAACTGTAGTGTTTCTTAAGTTATGTGCTACTTTTGGATGCTTATGCATCTAACTTAAATATTATAAAGATAGTTTTTAATTTATTTTCACCCCATTTATGTGTTTTTTTAATCATCATTTTATAATTCTCAGGAAAATGCATTTTCAATTATTTGGAAAATGGACATCGTCCACGATATGAACAAAACTATTTGCAGGGCGAATCTGTAAGTGTTCATTGTTATCCTGGCTTCACGCTTCAAAAAAAGCAGACCTCAATGACCTGTATGGAGAATGGCTGGCGCCCTCCTCCAAAGTGCATCCCTGTCGGTAAGAAAACTGGTCTAAGATCCAGTCTGCTTGTGATTGTCTAAGACTCACCTGTAATAACTCTGGCAAAAGGGTTCTATCAGCTCCTTGTTTTGCCAATGGCCCTACTTGTTTTTTTCAAGTGTGTATGAGTGAAAACACGAATTTCTTGATATATCAATAGCAAAATAAGCCTATTGGTAGACATTAATTTAAAAAAACAAAACAGGAAAAGACCACAAAGAGCAAACCTGTAATAACACTGTCATGAGCAAGATGACTGATTAGGAGGTTCTGTCATCTTCCCCACAAAAAAACAGGGATTCTGACAATCACCCTGCATGAGGCTCCGGGAACCCAGCGAGAAGTTTCACACACCGTTGGAGCCAAGGGCCCACACTGGATGCCCTGCAGGCTCTCAGAGCAACTTCACCCTGAGTGACTCCTCCCAGAGTGCTCCTCTTGGGCGTTTGAGGTTGGAGACCTCGAGTCCTACTGGCTTGATGTTCTGTGTTGGAAGTCTAGGTGGTTCCGGTCAACGTGATCTAGTCAAGGCTTGTTTTCATAGGATAAGGCTGGTGTGGGAGCCTCTACACAGAAGAGTTTATTCAGGGTCTGGATGGAGAAGGCCTCTTCTAGTCTCTCTACTAAGTGATTTGTGTTTAAGACCTGTTCCCATGTGACTGATTAATCTGAATGTTTCCAGCTCTGGGTGTGCCCTGGGATCTTGGAATTTGTTGTTTCCTGGCAGGTCTTTCCTCTGGTAGTTGGGTTCTGCCCATTCTCAGGGGGTTCCGCCCTCCACTCTAGGCGGGTGTATTCACCAAAGAATCTAGGATCGCTGTGCAGGTTGGTAGAGCTCTCCCCCCCCATTCCAGGGGTCCTTCCTCTCTGGTTATGGACATTCAGAGTCTGGCGGTGTCGGCCCCTTTGGGAACAGCGCCTTCGTTTCTCCTGTTCAGTAGGACTGACACATGTGCTTGGGTTTTCCCTTCCTGTGCTGTGATCTGGGAAGTTCCCACCTCCCAGCAAAGCCCTGTGAGAATGGAGATCCCATCAGTTGACCTATGTCTTGGGAACCATAGTTAGGCACTGGCTCAGGAACCATAGTTAGGCACTGGCTGTGTCCATATGCCTCACAAGGTCATGTTTATAGATTTGGCTCCGTTTCTTCATTGTGTCTGTGTGGCTGGCACTCTCTTCATTGTTCCTTCTGTGTTTATCCATTTAGGTGCATATTTTTTTAACATATTTTTAATTGATTTTTTACAGAGAGGAAGGGAGAGAGAGAGTTAGAAACATTGATGAGAGAGAAGCATCGATCAGCTGCCTCCTGCACACCCCCTACTGGGGATGTGCCCGCAACCAAGGTACATGCCCTTGACTGGAATCGAACCTGGGACCCTTCAGTCCACAGTCCAATGCTCTATCCACTGAGCCAAACCAGCCAGGGCTAGGTGCATATTTTCAATGAACCACCTTTTGACTCTGTACTTTTTCTCTAGTGTTTGGTTTCTAGTTGATTCCTGCTCGTATATTTCGGTTTTCCAGTTGGTTTTCCTTTGTCAGCACGAATGGGGTGCAATTGAAAACGGGAGTTGCATATGTTTAATGCAGACAGCTTGCTATTTTGATATAAGCACATGTGATGACATGACCACCAGATGGAGCTGCATAGCGCATCCATCACCTCACAGAGGTGCCATTGCTTCCCATGGGGTGAGAACACTTAAGCTCCACCCCCTTAGCAATATTGAAACAGGAAGGGGCCTGTTGCTAGGAGAGCTGTGGCGGACTGCAGGCTTCCAGATTCATGAGGCAAATGGATTTTTAATAATTTCCTACAAGGCATCCTGAGTGTTTTAAATCTGGCTTAGTTCCCCCCAAATGTTTTTAATATCTAGGTTTAACATATTTGGGAACTCATAACCTATTTTCTCCGACACAATGCTTTAGATGATTAGGAATTTTCCAAGTTTTCATTGACAAATGGCCCTTATTTCTTATGCTGTAATGTTGTGCGAGTCCTTAGGAAACTGGTTTCTGACCATATGCTTACCGTTTCCTTATGCTCTCTTCCTTTTAGAAACATGTTTAAAGTCAAAGGTGAAAATTGAGAATGGATTTATTGCTGAGTCTGAGTCTACATATCTCTTAAATCAAAAAGTAAAATATATGTGCAAACAAGATTATGTAACAGAAGATGGTCACACATCCGGGTCTATTACATGTCTCCAGAATGGATGGTCAGCTCAACATGGTCAGCTAACCCAGATGCATTAGTAAGTCATTCATGACCGTGGTGTCTGTTATTTTAATGGCTGTTGAACAAACCTTTACTTTAATTGATTTCTTTTTGGTGGGGTGGTGGAAGCTGACGTAGTTCTATTTGAAAACGCTAAGTAAGAAATCTGTGAGAAAACATATGTACTTTTTTTTATTGGTTACAATGAATTACTAGTAGGGTAGACGTAAGTTCATCATTCAGTTCAAGGTTTATCCCCGTAAACCATCCTGCGATTTGCAAACTGCCTACGGGCCTGTGTGGATTCCGCTGTAAGCTCATCCGCTTTGAGCTGAAGTCCTGCCCTGTTTACCTGTTTGCAGGTGATCAGACTTTCCTCTCAGTCTCAGTTCCTGACATAAAAGTTAGGTTTGTAAGTGAAATGTGGGCTCACAGGACACAGGTTAGAGGAATGTCACTTGTGTGATTTATGTGTTCGGTGCTGCAGGGGAGCTCCTCTTCTGAGCAACCACTTCCTCCAGGAAGCCTACAGGGATGTGCAGCGAGTGGAGACTGTGAGATGCTCCTAGATACAACCAGCGTCCGCGGCAGGGAGGGAGCTCTCTGCTTTATGACCTCGAAGTTTATGAACATTCCCTAGACAGTTCGCTCATTTTGTCTTATTCATCCCAAAGCCACGTGGTGTTAGTTTTCATTCACTTTAAGTGAAGTAGATATTTAAAATGTCCATTCCTATTGTTTTCATAGGTAACATGGGAACCAGCCAAACATTTCCATAGGTAACATGGGAACCAGCCAAAGAAAAAATGATGTTGTATCCATATCAGACTCATTTTATATTAAATTGTGGTCAACTATTCATTACAACACTCTTATTAGGAAAGAGGAAATGTGTCTATTATTTTTAGTAATATAGTTTTAGTTTCTTTTTTAACACTTTAAGCTACCTAACTACATAGTATGTTATAAAATAAGAGGTAAATTATTTAAACTTTTATTAACACCACTCCAATATAGTGTTACTGAAAATTGAGACCATTTTTTAGCATTTAGCTTTCTTATACTAATTATAAATATAGAAGTATATTTATAATCAACCTTGATAAGTATAAAAGAATATACAGTCATTTAAAATATCTGAAAAAGCTAAATTAGCATGTGAACTGTAAAAATTAGTATGTGTTAAAGGAGAATTGTATA